CCGCCACCCCTCACATCATGTACGTCATCAACCGCCAGTGGCAAGCTAGCGAGGCGACAACAGATGCCACTGCAACATGAACAGAACTTGTGGCCGTGCAGGTTGTTAAGGTGCCTGGACAAAAAATCCACGTTGGTCCTGTGTTATGAATTATAACTCTGAATAGCGCAGAATACTATAGGGGAACGTGATTACAGAAATGTCCTATCCAAATGAGACCTAGGGCTTATATAGTGCAAGTTGACCAGGTTGAATGTCGAGGGTTGGATCAGTCAAGGGCTCGTTAGTCCCGAGGGTGATGGGGTCAAAATGGGTTTGGGGCGACTCGGGATGAGGTTGGGGCCGACGAGGTTGTCGGGGGCTGGTTTGGCGCGTGACTTGAGGGCCGAGCCTGCGGACGCGAACTGTTCGCGTGTACTCGCTGTGGCAAACCCCAGTAAGGAATGGTAATTCCTTACACTCTCCCACGTTCTTAAGGAAGGCACTCCCTTTATCGAGGCCGAACAGTCATTAAAAGTAATCCCCGATGTGACTGTAAGTCTTCAGCCTTGTGACGACCGTAATGATTACGCCGGCCTGACAATGTCTTGATGTCGAACTGGAATCGATGGTCGGAAAGTGTCGAAACGATCGCTATTAATCTTAGTCGTCAAAGATGGTCGAATTCTTCTGTTGACCAAACGGGCAAAGGTAAATACTCCAGCGGAAGACTGTGAACAGTGAAACTGTCGAGTGGTCGATTGATGATGACGAATGGCTCTTGGATATCTTCCGTAATTATGAAACTGTCGAATGAGGTGGATGGTCGAAATGAAAACCCGTTCACCAAAAGGCGAGGTCGTTCGTGTCACATGCGACACGTGCTTCGAACTCCATCAACGAAGTGACGAAATTAGGCGTAGAAGCGTAACGGTGACGAATGATGCTCAAAGATGAATAATGGAACACGCCAGAAGGGTAAGATGAAAACTGCAGCGCAGCTGCACTTCCCCCCCCCCCCTCCAAGAAGAAACAACTCCCAACGTCCCAGGTAGAAACCCCATGCTCCAGGGTAGTCGAAATAATCCCACACTGCTGATGAAAATTCTCATACTCAGCTTCAAAGATGCCGCTGCAAAACTCCAAACGCGAGAAATCCCAAATATGCTCCAAAGGTAAATTTCCTCAGCACGGTAAACCGCTCCAAGGGTCTTGAAACTCAGAAGTAACTGCTCCGGAAGACTCCCATACGAACTGATAATTTTGCACGAGTAGGAACACTGCTTGCGAGCTGTTCTCAACATAGCTCTAACAGTACTGCTGCAAAATCTTTTCGTTTCGATACTGCTCCTGATGGGTGGCAATGATGTGGCGGGGTCGTGATCAGACTGTCGGGTGAATCAGGCGAATTGATGATGGAGGCAGTAGCGCGTGATGGCGAGAGGAAGGAGACGATGGCGAGGGTAGTAACATGTACTGAACCACTCCAGTGGAAAATCTCGAACAAAACCCCTGGTCAAATGTCGCCAGCTGCAACGGCTATTTTGTCCGTACACGCCGAAAACTTTGGAAAGAGACGAAACGTCTGCTGCTCTCCTTCCCTTCCATACAACCAAAACACTCCGCAAATGTCGGTCGGTGTCGCTCATACAACTGAAGATAGCGGGTACTGCTCGAGCTGTAAGTCCATGAACTGTGCCAGCGAAAATATCGGAACTCCACCCGGTGCTTCTAAAATATCGCAACTCAGCTTCACAATTACTTGTAAAAAACCCAGGCGTCACGGCGTCCTTTAGCAGTGGCCCACGGTTGCTCCACCAGCTGTACGCATAAACAAAACCATTTATATTAGGGATTACCGGAGTCCACTGCCTCGGCATGATGTTTTAGCCGTCGATCAGGGTCAACGCGCATCATATGCGGGCGATCTCCTCCCAGCTGTTACCCAAAATTCTTCAAAATACTCTGGTACCCCTGCCAGCTAGCCGTGCAGACGTTCCCATCTCGCGGCTGCTGCTGGTTACCCAAAACTGCTTTGCTGCTGCTTAACTAACTAAGAGAATCCATAGACATAGGGATGCGCACGCTTCTAGTCAGAGGAGCTTTAACGAGCTCGCCTACTGACCGCTGGACAGCTCCCTCCTCCCGTCGGAAACTCGTCAAACTACACCCGCAAAAGTCGGAACGTCCTTCTGCTGCACCAGGTGAAACCCTCAGCTTCGCTGCAACAGTAACGCCTTGAATTTCGGGGACACTCCATCAGCACAGTATAGTTCGCAGGTTCACCCCCCTTATTCAGCCAAGAGCCGTCGATTTATAAGTCAACACTGCTACCTTGTGGGGATGGTGATATTCGGGCGACGTAGCCGAGCGAGCAGCAGCTTGAATGCCGCTAACCCTTAACTACTCCAGTACTCCCGTCGTTCTTCTTCCACTGCTTCTGCTCCTGAAAGTTAACGCTTTTGGGGACCAGTGGAAAAATACTTACAACACACCCAAGGGTGGCGGCCGTCGTTTTCGTTGATCGTGTGGGTATGAATTGCTGGTCCACGAAAACCACCTTCCCATGCAGGAAGTCGCCCTTGCTGAGTACACTCACTCCAGCACGGCGTCATCACTTCCAGATGGCCGTCGTGGTGAATAGCGTCGTCATCCCAGTTGCTCCCACACAACTGCACGCCCATACGTGTCGTGCGATCGTGTCGTTCCGAAATTGTCGAATCCACCAATTGCCGAAACAGTTTTGAAGTCCCGTCCATCGTCTGCAAGTAGCCTGCCGGAAATTCCGAAACAACATGCGACGCAGCTACAATTCACCCTGCCGCTGCATGGCGTGCCAGACGTACATCGCCATACGTCCTGTCAATTTCGCTACCCCGCGCGCTCCTAGCGACCCACTCCCGGCCGCCTGACGACTCGTCGTTATTTTCGAAAGCCAATTCGAACACTTCATTAGCGACTCCCGAAAATAACGTAACATTAGCGAACATACCCGAAAAACACGGCGAAAACGTTTACTCTCTTCGACGGAAAATAATTCCGTCTACGAACAAGGAAGGGGAGGACCGGCTAATCCCAGCCGTCCATCTGTCAGGATCCGACGGCATCGGAGACGCCCGCGTAATTAATCTCCGCGTCGTCCGCTCGCCATTAGCATCCTTCCGCCCCCTTCCCTGATAGGGTCAACTCCCTTATCGGAAACCTAATGGGCAGGAACGTAGCTCTGATACCAGCTGTTATGAATTATAACTCAGAGTATAGCGCAGAATACTATAGGGGAACCGGATTACAAAATGTCCTATCCAAATGAGACCTAGGGCTTATATAGTGCGAGTTGGGTTGGACCAGTCAAGGGCTCGATAGTCCTGAGGGTGACGGGGTCAAAATGGGTTCGGGGCGACTCGGGATGTGGTTGGGACCGACGAGGTCGTCGGGGGCTGGTTTGGCGCGTGACTTCAGGGCCGAGCCTGTGGACACGCACTGTTCGCGTGTACTCGCTGTGGCGAACCCCAGTAAGGAATGGTAATTCCTTACATCATGCCGGCAAATGTAACCAGCTCACTGACACCAATTTACAATAGCATGTGCTTACTTACTTCCCTTTGAATGTATCCAACTACAGCGCCAAACCAACCACGAGATATGAGATGGGATGGGAAGGGGCATCAAATATGAGTTTTTCATATGCGGGATTGTTTTGTAAAGATGATATGTTTAACATCACTTCCACCCCTTACGCGGAAAATAAATTGCGAAATAATTACGAATTATGATTCTCTGTTTAACTACAGTTATTTTTCATGTAGTTTTTTCAGTGTTTCAAGCTCTTGTAGTGACGTGTGATGCCATCCTTGCCACGAACCAGCTTGATCTTGACAGCGTCGTGGCAGGACATCACCATGCCACATCGGCGGTATTGTTTGATATTCTGTTTCCTTTAGCGAATCGCGCGAGCCAGCCAGGGTGGCGCCAGCGCCTACTCAGCATCGATGTCTGGTTCCTTACCCGAAAGCTTCCAGTTTGCAGGTCGCGTACGTGATATCTATTTCATATCCACACTAAGTGCTGGTCGTGAAACATTCTATCTAAACAGAGTGAGCTACAGTCTCACATCACACGATTATCACTCAAGTGGCTATCGCCGGAGAGCTCACTGGAATATGGGTCTCATTGTAATCTACCTGTTTACGTAAGCAGAAGTTTCAGTAAGCATGCCTCGACTCCTAAGTGCAAGTGTAAACGCGCATGGTATCAGCTCCTTGTTCCACCACAGCAGGTTCTTGGCTTCCTCAGGCTGCGCTCTGAAGTTTGGCCGAACTTTTGAGTTTAGCCATCCGACTCGCCACGTCGGAATTGCGCATTGCAATGTTTGGCGTGTCGATTCGAACTTTGCGACGGGGGTCCACGAACAGCTGCGACCAAGGACTTAACCTGGTTTCTGCATACTTGGCCGGCCATGCCAAGGAAATTTGACGTCGACCAAGCCACAAAAGGAGCACCATCCTGCCCGGCGCACGAACAGCCGTCAAACTGCGACTGCTCCACTCTTCTTCACCAAAGCCTTCATCAACACCCTAACCAGAAGGATATAACCTTAAAACCCGCGTGCCAACTGCCTCGAGCTTCCTATCTCTGGTTGGGATTGGGAGATCCCTAGGAGTACTGCCTGACAGCCAATCCCGTCGTTTTACTCAAGCAACCTACCTGCTGTTGAACTACTTGGCACAAGGGTTTTCACTATTTATTTTGGAGGGACTCAGGTGGAATTTTTGCAAGTAAACTTTCCCAAAATGATCCGGAAGCTGGCCGTCAGGTGTCGCAGTCCTCTGCGACCCAGATTGTGTTCTCTTGCATGTCGTTTTGCAGATCGCCTGTCGATCTAATTTGGCGCGATGGGGGACCGTTCGCATAGCGTCGCGGCCTTGTCGCCTAATTTTTCGCCAGGGGTTGGCCAAAGTTCACCCACCACAACTTTTGCCAACCAAAGCCTCAATGTTTGGCCAAACTTTCGCTGACGTGGCGATTCGGACAGCCAAACTTCAACTCGGCCAAACTTCAGAACGCTATCTCAGTCACCAGTTCAGCCCGAAAATTTACTCGCCTGAATCCATAAGTCTGAGGGCTACCCACAGTCATGTGAGCTTCCAGCAAGTCGCCTTTCCATTTCTTATCTGTTTCCGTTCTCAGTCCCATTTTTCGTCCGCGCGTTTATCTCCTTCCACCGGCGTTATGGCGACCGTCGCTGCACCCTCCGCCAGCCTTCGCTGCTCGCTGCTGTCCTCCCAGGGCAAGGCCGTCTCGGGCCGGCAGCTCGCTGTCGTTTCTGCCAGGCCGGCAGCAGCATTCTCAAAGAAGGCGGCGCTTGTCGCGAGTAAGTAGACGATGCCACGAGTAAGTAGACATTTTTCGCTGGTGACATTTTCCACCAGACAATTTTCCAGTGACTTTACTTTCTAAATGGTGCAACTTCACCGTATATTGTCACCGCGTAGGGCTTGATGATCCTAAGAGAGTCGTCTTAATGTTCCCGTGTAATGACATCTCGTGATGTTACCTTGTAACATTGTGTATGTCAACGTGTGCGTCAAGTGATTACTCGCTGTAACACGGTGACATACGATATTTACATGTGACATTATATGGTATTACACGGTGACATATGGTGGTGATGCACGGTAACATTGCACAGTCGTACACGGTGTAAACGGGTTTTCCCGCTTGATTTTCACTCCGTCGCGTGGCCGCACGCGACGCTATCCTCAGGATGCCTTTGAACGCCACGAAATCCCTCCGTGCATCCTCTCCCATGCTCACATGCTCTTTTCGATCATCCGCTCCCCTTCCTCTCCACTCCCCCATCCCTTCTCCTCCCTCCCCCTTCCGGGGCCTCGTCCGAGGACAAGCCTTCGCTGGCGGCGTCCATCGCTACGCCTGCAGCCACCGCTATTAGCAGGGCGTGTAGGAATGAGAATGCCCATTCCCGATCCATGCTTCATGCCCGTCTCTCCCCCTCCCCCCCAACATCCCCCCTCCCCCCTCCCCCTCCCTCTTCCAGGGGCCTCGTCCGAGGGCAAGCCATCGCCGGTAGCGTCCATCGCCACTGCCGCAGCCCCGGCCATCCGGCGTGTAGGACTAGAGAATGTGCTTCTCATGCGTCGTGCCCCACTCCCCACTCCGGGCCCCACCCACCCACCCCCACCCCACCCTCCCTCCCCCCTCCCCCTCCCTCCCCCTCCCCCTTCCCCCTCCCCCCCCCCCCCCCCCCCCCCCCCCCCCTTCCCCTCCCTCGCGCCCCTCCCCCACCCCTCTCCCCCTCCCAGGGGCTTCGTCAGAGGAGAAGCCATCGCGGCGGCGTCCATCGCTACGGCTGCAGCCACCGTCATATGCGGCGCCTGTGGGATAAGCAAAAGACCTTCCTTCTCATGCGTCGTTCTCCTCTCCCTGCTCTCCCCGACCCTTCTCTACCTCCAGGGGCCTCGTCCGAGGACAAGCCGTCACTGGCGGCGTCCATCGCAACGGCTGCAGCCACCGCCATCTGCGGCGCCTGTGTCGCTGTTTCGCTCGCTGCCGCTGCTCCAGCCCTCGCTGCTCCCCCTGCCGGTCAGGTGAGGCTTTGAGTAGCTTTGGGTCAACCCGTAACTTACAGCTGCTGCCACCGCCACCTGCGGCGCCCGTGTCGCTGTTTCTCTCGCCGCTGCTGCTCACGCCCTCGCTGCCCCCTCGCCCAGCCAGGTGAGACGTGAAACCGTCAAAGTAGGTTCTGAATACCCCTGTGCGCTGGTGAGACGCGAAACCGTCAGATGTGGTTCTGAGTACCCCTCGTAAGCCGGTGAGACGTGAAACCGTTAAAGTAGTTTCTGAATACCCCTTGTTAGCTGGTGAGATGTGAAACCGCCTAAGTAGGTTCCGAAGACCCCTTGTAAGCCGGTGAGCCGCGAAACCGTCAGACGTGAAACCGCCGTACTCGACTGTGCCAGACTGTCGCTTGGACGTGATTGCAGCTGCTGCTGCCATCTGCGGCTCATGTGTCGCTGTCTAGCTCCTCCCCCCCTCCCCCCCCCCCTGCCCCTCCTGCTGCTGCTATCTGCGCCTCATGGCGGGAGAATCATAGCGGGACTTGACTCTGGCACGACTAGAGTCAACATTGTTAAGGTTGGAGAACCGCTTGTCGGAGAAGGTGCTGGACCTGCGGCAGTGCGACTTCTGGGGGGTGAGAGAGTGCATAGAGTATGGAGAATCCCTATCCCTCTCGCCTCTTCTCCCTCCCTTTCCTCTCACCCGCTCCGTTTTCTCCCGGCCCCACCTCCCTCCCCCTCTTTTTCTGCCTCCCCATCCTCATCTCAGGTCCGCCTGCCCCCTCTCTCCAGCGACCCGAACCGCTGTGAGCGTGCGTTCGTGGGCAACACGATCGGGCAGGCGAACGGGGTGTCGGACAAGGTGCTGGATCTGAGGCAGTGCGACTTCTCGGGCGACAAGGAGAACCTCAAGGGCAAGACGCTGTCGTCCGCGCTCATGTCCGGGGCGAACTTTGACAACGCGGACCTCACTGAGGTGGTCATGAGCAAGGCGTACGCCGTGGGGGCCAGCTTCCGGGGTGAGTGGTGTTGTGTGTTGTTGCCTTCTCTGTCACTGTCTCTGTCCCTGTCTCAATGTTTGACAATGCGGACCTCACTGAGGTGGTCATGAGCAAGGCGTACGCCATGGGAGCCAGCTTCAGGGGTGAGTGGGCCTGCCCGTGCTTGCTGTCTCACTCTTCTGCTGTCGATAGCAAGAGATTGTGGTCGAGTTTAGAAAGCTTAAGGCAAGGTCACAAGCAGCACGTCAGGAATCTCAAATTGGCCTCATCCTTCCTACCCTTGGTCGGGTGTTCCCTAGGAGTGCTAACCCACAACCAATCCCGTCCTCAATCCCAACTAACTTTCCCACGATTGAAGTTCTTGGGACGCTGCTTTTTTAATCAAGGGCATACGTCCAGCAAAGACCTTCGTGTCAAGTCAAGCAAAGGCCATTGTGACCAAGTCAAGTAATGGCCATTGTGACGAAGTCAAGCAAAGGCCATTGTGACAAAGTCAAGCAAAGGCCATTGTGACAAAGTCAAGCAAAGGCCATTGTGACAAAGTCAAGCAAAGGCCATTGTGACCAAGGCAAGCAAAGGCCATTGTGACAAAGTCAAGAAAAGGCCACTGTGACCAAGGCAAGCAAAGGCCATTGTGACAAAGTCAAGCAAAGGCCACTGTGACCAAGGCAAGCAAAGGCCATTGTGACAAAGTTAAGCAAAGGCCACTGTGACCAAGGCAAGCAAAGGCCATTGTGACGAAGTCAAGCAACGGCCATTGTGACAAAGGCCAATGTAATACAATGGACATTCGCTCATGGAACACTTTGACATATCCCCTGACAAAAAGTAAGAAGTCTCGAATGCGCCCTGATATCCCCCGCCCTTCCCCAGCCCCTCCCTGCCTGCCATGCCCTCCTTTCCTCCCTCACTGCATGCTCACACGTCCCTTCTTGCTCTCCAATCCTCATCCCTTATCAGCATTCGGACCTCTTTCACAAGACCGATCTGTCGTGTGCATGAAACCAACCATCCTACTCCCTCCCACCTCACACGCATTTCTCTCCCATCCCCCTCCCACTCATTCAGGCTCCAAGCTCAGTCTTGGATCGGGTCCTTCTCAACGAAGCCATCTGACCGCCATGTTGTTCAGGAACGCGATGCTCAGGGGTCCTTCTCGGGATCCACATTCAACGACGCGAACCTGACAGTCGCTCACCACGTACCCCCTTCGTTCCCCTCTTTCTCCCTCTCTTCTCTGATCAACCAGGCACACCTATTCTGTCTTGTATCGGGTGCTTTTCAACAGGGCCGATCTGATGGGCGTGTCTTTTAGAAACGCGGTGCGCTCTGGGTCCACGTTCAATAATGTTTACCTCACCAACACTCAACCACCACCCCCCTCCCCCTCTTTCCGCTCCTCACCCTCTTCTCTGGTCCTTCAGGTGCAGATTTCACCAACTCTGTGTTGGATCGAGTCCTTTTCAACGAAGCCGATCTGACCGGCGCGTCGTTCAGAAACGCGGTGCTGTCAGCATCCACATTCAACGACGCCAACCTCACCGATACGATCTTTGAAGACGCTCTTATCGGATACGTCGATGTGCAGAAGCTCTGCCGCAACACCACGCTCGGCGAATTCACTCGCCTCGAGCTTGGATGCAAGTAGTGTATACTGTGTATACAGGTATTCATAAGCCACTCTGTTTGGTTTGGATAACTAGATGTGCTAAGTGTTATTAATTAATCAGAGTAATACAGTGGCGGAATAAATTGTCCACATGTTCAGCCTTTTTTGGCATTTTGATGAGTGCAGCGATGTAAACATTAAGCCTTAACGTATGGTGTGCATACACGCTGAGAAGTTCAGTTAGAGCACTCACTCGAGTTGACAAACACCAAAGTAGTACTACCTATCAGAAATTGAAGTGTTAATGATACAGAGAGAGTACACACAATATAGCTAAGTGTTGTACCCTCTAAGAGGCTACCCTATACAGTCTATACAAACATAACACATAGACATGTTTGACACACCCCCTAGACTGCATAGGGGAAAGTCCTAAACAAACAGCTCAGGGCGGCACTACTAGTCCAACCTCTGAGACAAGGGTCTGAGTGACCAGTCAGAAGGAGTACAGACAAGGCAAGCACAAGAGCAGGCCGGTACTACTAGTCCAGCCACTGGGAGAGGACACAAGTCCAGTCTGAGTATACATATAAAGGACAGTACAAAGTCAAGGTCCTAGCAAGTGAGAGGCTACGGGAACTAGACCAAGCTGTACACAGTGCCGCTGATGATCTTTAGGCGCAAGTGCCTTCGTAAAGATATCAGCCGTGTTGGCACCTGAGGCCAAGTGTACTACGCGAGCCTGACGTCGCTGCTGTAGCTCACGCAGGAGGAAGTACCGCAGCTGAATGTGCTTCGCTCTGCCCTCGAGTCGAGGCTCCTGACACAGGAGGATCATGGCCCTGTTGTCAGCGAACAGGACCGGGGCAGAGCTAGGCCGCTCACCTAAGTCAGTGAGCAAGAAGGTCAGCCAGCGGAGCTCCTGTGCCGCCATGGCACCGGCGTAGATCTCAGCCTCACAGCTGGACTGTGCAACAGACGAGGAGCGAGTAGCTCTCCACGAGACGGCACCTGAGCCAAGGCTGAAGCAGTAGCCCTGGGTAGACCGGAGAGTCTCAGCGTCGTCTGCCCACGAAGCGTCTGTGTGCCCAGTAAGGATCGCTGGCCTGCGTCCTCCTAGCACTAACCCCATGCCCGATGTACTAGCAAGATAACGCAGAACCCTCTTAGCGGCAGACCAGTGCTGCGGTCGGTGTCTGCCTGTGGCCACAAAGCGAGCCAGGATGCTGAGAGGGTATGCGAGATCTGGGCGAGTGCAAGTCATCAGGTACATGAGGCAACCCACCAGCTCTGCGTAGGGGCCGCTGGGCTCTACCAACTCCTCAGGCACTGGAGCGGAGAGCCTGTGGTCTACAGGCAGAGGGGTGGGCTGTGCAGAGGAGAACTGAAGGCTGAACCTCTGAAGGACCTGGCGCACCAAGTGTGACTGAGTCAGGGTGATGGTGCGCGCAGCTCTGTCCCTGGAGATCTGCAAGCCAAGGTAACGGCGCAGTTCTCCAAGGTCAGTGCAGGTGTGTCTCTTCAGCAGCTCTGCCTTCACGGAGGCCAGCGCGTCCTTGTCTGCTGTGGCAAAGACCAGGTCGTCGACGTAAACGAGGATGTAGAACGGAGTCTGGCCAGCACGAACGAAGAGTGAAGGGTCTGCAGAAGACGGAAAGAACTGCAGGTCAGCAAGCGTAGCACGGAGAGTGTCGTGCCACTCACGGGGAGCCTGGCGCAGGCCGTAGACGGGGCGCCGCAGGAGCCACTGGGTCCCAGGAGGGAAGGTGCCAGTAAAGCCCGGAGGACGGCGCAGGTAGACCTGCTCGTGTAGACTGCCCTGAAGGAAGGCAGTGGAGAAGTCAAGTGAGTGAAGCTCGTAGTCACGCTGAGCAGCTAGGTGTAACAGAACCCGAAGAGTAGTCATCTTCGGGGTCGGAGCGAAAGTCTGGAAGAAGTCCACCCCCTCACGCTGACTGAAGCCTCTAGCCACATAGCGCGCCTTGAAGACAGGCGGCTCTCCAGGAGGGCGCTTCACCTTGAAGAGCCAGCGGCCATCGACTACGTTCACCCCAGGCAGGGGAACTGCGTCGACGAAGGTGCCGGTGGATCTCCAAGATGCCATCTCCTGCTCCATGGCAGCTATCCACTGCGAGGCCCAGGGTCCCGAAGTCGCCTCAGCGTAAGTGCGAGGGGTCGGGATGTCGAAAGCGTCTGGGTCACCCTCAGGGACTAGTAGCATGGAACAGAGATGGGGAGCAGCCTCGGAGAGGAAAGCAAGCTCGAAATGGCGGTCCTCTAGGACGTCACTGCCAAGGGCAGGAGCACCCCCGACAGACGGAGGACAGGCAGGGTCAGAGACCAGAGCGGTGGCGTAGTCAAGGCGGCGGGTAGAGGCGAAGTCAGCGACAGCAGCGACAAGAGCGTCAAGGCACGAGACCGGAACAGACGGGTCGGTAACGAGGGAGGCAAGGACCCGAGGAACGAGAGGACGAGCGGCACGAAGGTAGTCGGACAGCGGGGGGGGCGCAACAACAAGGGAGGACGGAGGAGGCGACGGTAGAAGGGGAGGACGAGACGCGTGTGAACGAAGCAACATAGGGTGGGAGCACAAGACAGGCGAGGCAGGACGAGCACGGGAGGGACGGTGAGACCAGACGTGGGACGGAGGAGTCGGGTCAGGAGACAGGGGAGGGGACACAGGAGGGGAACGAGGGGGGAGACGGGCCGGGGACGAGTCCGGCGGAGGGAAAACAGGGCCGTAGACAGGAAGAGGAGGAGACGGGCGGGGAGGAACCGACGCAGGGTCGGGGGACGGAAGGCCGAGCAGGCGAAGGGCGGACACCGGTGGGAACTGCTGCTGCGGCGGCACAATGGCGCCACGTGGACCGCAAGCTGCTCCTCGGCTACCACCGGCACTCTCCACACCCGCACCCCCAGAGGGACCACCTGCAGGGCGACCGGGACGAGCACCCCCAGAGTCAGCGAACGGGGGCGGCGACGGCGGCGGCAGCGAGCGGCAGCGGCGACGGCGACGGCTGCAGCGGCGGCAGGGGCGGCGGAGGAGGGGACTGGGGAGGGGACACCTGGGGAGGGGCGGCCGGCGAGGACTGCACCGGAGGGCCACCAGAGTCAGAAGACTCCTCAACCGGGTCCACGGACGGAAGGGGGGTGACGTGGGAGACACCAGAGGGGGCGGGACGGGGAGGAGGAGGAGGAGGGGCAGGGACTACCGGGGAAGGGGTGACCAGGAAAAGGGGGGGGGTAACCGGGGGACCACGGTGGGGGAAGCGGCGGTAGTAGGAGACGGACTCGTGAAAGGTGACGTCACGAGAGTGAAAGAAGCGGTGAGACGGTGGGTGGTAAAAGTGCCAGTCGGACGCGTCAAGGGGAAAACCGAGGAAGACGCAGGGAAGGGTGCGGGCAGTGAGCTTGTCCGTGCCGGAGGCACGGACGTGAGCAAGGCAGCCCCAGACGTGGAACGCAGACGCGTCACCAGGGGACCCAGTCCAAAGACGGGTCGGCGAAACCTGCGGCTGCTGAGGGTGCGGCCACAGGTTAAGCTGGTGAGAAGCGTAGCGCACAGCGAACGGCCACAGAAAATGGGGTGCACCGGCATGGATCATGGAGGTGCGAGCGACCTCCATGACCAAACCGATGCATCGCTCAGCGACCCCATTCTGCTGTGGGGAGTCCGGTAGGGTGAACGTCTGGGTGATGCCCTCCGCACGACAAAAGCGACCAAGGACACCTGAGGCAAACTCGCCACCACGGTCTGAGTGAAGACGCAAGACAGGGAGACCGCGGTGGACACGCGCAGAGACAAGCCAGGGGATGAGAGCGCCAGGCACGTCGGCCTTGCGCTCCAGGGGAAAGACTGTGGTGTAACGAGTGAAGTCGTCGACAAGCACAAGGAAGTAGCGCTCTCGACGCGGCCCAGGGACGGGGGCGGGGCCCCAGACGTCCAGGTGCAGGGTCTGCAGCGGCGCGGCGGTAGGGGGAAACGAGGAGGAGTGAGGGGCACGGCGAAGCCGACCCTCGACACAAGGCGTGCAAGGTGGGGCTGGGTTGGAGGGAAACGCGGGGAGGGAACCTGGGAGACCAAGGACGAGACCGTGCTGAGACATGTGACGCAGACGCGGGAGCGCAGGGTGACCTAGGCGGTGGTGCCACAGGAGGGTCGGGTGAGTGAGGGAGCGACAGGAGCAGGCAGCAGCAACCTGGGTAGACACAGCCACCTGAGGGGGCGCTCCAGGCGGGGGGGGCACGGTGTCCAGAGTGAACAGGCCGGACACCGGGTCCCCGGGGAACGTGGACAGGGGGGCACCAGTGGCGGCCTCGGTACAGACAGCATACCGCTCGTGACCAGGGAACGTAGTGGTGACGCCAAGGTCCTGGAGGCAGCCGACACCAACTAGGTTCCTGGAGAACGAAGGGATATGCAGACCTGTAAGAGAGCCCGAAGGAACCGCCGGACAGGGAAGGGTGGTGGAACTGCAGGCGACTACCGGACCGCCGGAGGGGTCAGCAAGAGAAACGGCAGCAGGAACAGGAAGCGGCGTCAGGGTGGTGGAGTCGCGGAAGAAACACCGAGAGGCGCCAGAGTCCAAGGTGAAGGAAAGCGAAGCCGAGGGGTCTGGCGACGGAACGACGGCAGAAGCACCAAGACTACACAAAGCAGGGGATCCTACGCCTGACGCAGCAGGGGAGGCGAAGCTAGGCACACCTACACTAGGCAACAGTGAGTAATAAGTCGGAAGCACACTAGAGTCATCAGCATACATCACATGCAGAGCAGAAACAATGGCATCCATGTCCATATCAAAGATCTGAATCTGACGACTAAGCAAACTGTGCCAGTCCGGGAGGTCTGGCGATGGGCCGAAACGCTGACGAAAGAGGTCGTCCAGGCGACGAAAGCAGCGGGGAGTGGAGTGACCGATCTTACCGCAAACGAAGCCGCGGCGAGGACCGGTCTGGATCTGGTACTGACAACGCCCGCCGGCAGAGCCACCACGTGGCACACCACCACGCGCCCGTCCACCGCCAGCGCCGGGCCACCCTGGCGGGAGAACACTCGTCTGCCGCGTCTGCGACGGCTGCTGCGGCTGCTGCGAAGGCTGCGACTGCGGCGGCTGCTGCGGCTGCTGCAACTGCAGGGGCGGCGACTCAGCTGGACTGGGCAGGGTCCCCTCGTCCGCTCCAGCACCAGGCGACTCGACCCCACCACTA